TTTAGTAAAATAATACTTTATTTATTATTAAATTAAAGTATAATAAAATAATTAAAATAGTATAAAAAGTTAATTTAGATTATTCTGTATTTAATATAAAAAAATTAATTAAAATTTAAATAATTTTTATTAGAAGTGATTATTAATTTTTATATTAGTATATTAATTTTCTTGCAATAGTCCATAATTATTATAATATAAAAATAATATATAATAAATAAAATCAATTTATATTAGAATATTTAATAGCATATATTTATAAGTTTATATTTCTCAAATTTTATTATTTTCTAATTCTTACTTTTCAAGAAAAATAAAAGATGATATATCACTAATAAAGAATAAAAAATTAATAATAATTAATATTTATAAATACTTTTTAAGATTATTTTAAATCACAAGTAATATCAGAAGTTTATATTATATAAGTGAGTTATTTTAATATTAGATATTACAGAAAATATAATTAAAAGTATAGTAGCAAACTAGAATCAAAATAATAATAATACTTTTTTAATATATAAAATTCTTAAATAATCTAAATTATAATTAGATAAGAAGATCAAAATTTTTTTATAGAATTATATTCTTGAAAATAATAATACTAATAAATTAAAGATATTATTTTAATTAATTATAACTTATAATAACAAATTAAAGAATTATGATTATGTTATAATACTATATTTATTATAGGCAAATTTTAATTCTGATTTTACAATAGTTTTTCTCTGAATATAAATATATATTTTTTAAATAATAACTTATTTAAATATTATATTGCTTAAACTATTATTATGATCAAAAAGAATATAAAAATATTCTTTATAAGTTATTAAATAATATTATATTTTATTATTATTATATTCATTATTATATATTTAATCTAAAAGATAAAAATAATATTTTGTATTATCAAGAAGTTTTTCTTGACAAGCTATATTAGTTTTTAAATTATATACACTCTAAAATATAACTTCTTTAAAAAGATATTATCTTAATATACAGATATAATCTATTATTAATAATCTTTAATATGATTATTATATTTTGAAATAGTTCTACCAATAAGATATATGATAAGCTTATTCTAAATTCTATTTATCTCTAGAATTCTATAATCAAACTATTAGAAATTCAAGAACAAAAATAAGATAATATTGAAAAATAAAATAATATTCTAAATATTATTAAAAATGCAAATATCATTTCAAATCAAGTTAATTATAATAGAAATTTTAATACAAAAGTTTTTAAAGATCTTTTTAAAAATCTTTATTAAATAATTAACAAAAAATATAATATAATAAATATTTATATAAATGATTTATATTATTATAAATGATAAATCAAGAATATTTTAATATTAGTCACAAAAAAAAGAAATAATCAACTAGCTTACTGATTACTATATTTTTTTTTTAGATAATTATGCAAATCTAAACTTCTTGAGCTAATAAAAAAGAATAAGAAACAGATTCTATTTGCTTTTATCAAAATAGCTAAATAATATAATTACTAAGTTTTTTATCCCTTTTATTATTATGAATTTTAGCTAATTAAAAGTATATAAGCAGTAGTAAAAGATAAAATAGCAATATTTGATTCATATTCAAATCTATTAGCTATTAGAAATATATTTTTACATACTTTCAAAGAGAAAATAGATTCATATATAGTAATTAAATTATAAAAAAGAATACTTATAAGAGTAAAAAAATATAGAGAGACTAATAAAAATATAGTTTTATTAGATAAAAAAGAAATAATAATGATAACTTTAATAATAATAATAAATTCTAATATAATTTTTATATTCTAATATTTTCCAATATATATTAGTTTTATTTTATAAAAAAAATAAAAAACTTATATATAAAAAAATTTTTTATTAATTATAATCCAAGATATAAATCTTATATATCAATCTATAATATTTATAAATAAAATATATATAGATTAAACAGAATTAATTAACTTAATTTGCATTTTCAGAGAGTAATCAATCATAATCTAATAAAATATAAATGATATAAATAATAATATAAATAATAATTGAAAAGAACAAATAAAATTATAAAAGAATTATTAAAAGAAATCTAATTAAAAAAATTAATCATCTAAATTAATAATAAGAATATATATAATGATTATTTGTATAATAATATGATAAATTTAATTAATTAAATATATAGATAATTATCTATATATTCAATATAAAAATAATTTTTAATAAAGTAATATAGAAGCTAATCTAAAAGAAGATAATCCAATCAAATTATTATAATTAAATATAAATATCAAATCATATATATATATTAATAGTTTATTTTTTCAATTATTTTATTTATATAATCTGATATTTTCTTTACCAGATTAAGATACAAGTTTATGAAAATATTTTTCTATTTAAAACAGATTGTTATTTTAATCTTGTTAACATAATGCTGGAGAGAATTAGAAATGTGATCAAAGCAAGAGGGAGTGGTAGTATAATGTTTATATTTTTATTCAATTATATTTGTTTTAAATTTTATTGAAAATGATTTCTATTTAATAAATAGCAAAAAATGCACCATCATTTCTGCAAATTAATAATTATTATCCATAGTTGGGCATAATAAAATCTAGTCTTTTTTATAGATAGCTTAAGTTGTATTTGCTGATATTTATTTCATCATTTGTATGTTCATTATTACTTTCTTGATTGCAAATTTTGTGTATCACTTAAGTTCGAATTCGGACTGAACGCAATTCGAAAAGGTTAAGATAATGATGTGCACGTCTCACTTGGCTACGAATAGGATTAAAAATCACGTGGACGATAGTCCTGAAAAATATATTTACATAATTCTGGCTGGCATTAAGAAATTAAGCCATAATTCAGGGCAAATATGCAGAATTGTGCCATAGATTCGGTCAACATTACCCTGAACATATCAAAAAACGATGATCTAAAATTAGAAACACTAAATAATTTGGCCAACATTATAATCAAACCATAGTTCAAGATTGTAGAAAAAAATTTTAGGTGATTATAGTCTACATGTATAGTTGACTGATTCATCACGTGACATCATGTACATGTAATTGTACATATGAGCCGAATAGGGCTAGAATTAGAATAGAGCGCATAACTTATATTCATGAGCTCCATCTCGACAGAATTTAATTGTAATTAGCAACCTATAATAGTTATCGCATGTTAGAATTTGATCTTTATTTCCCCAAATTAACTAAATACATGTATTATACAATTGAAAATTAATCTATTAAATGTAACTTAATGTCCCATTCTAGTTCTAGTAAATAACAACTAATTATAAAGTCAATGGTTGTCGTTACCATTGCCGTTGCCATTAGCAAATCCCCAATTCCAATTTCCGTTATTATTTCCATTGTATGAACCATAGTTTGCATTACCATTGGCGTTGCCATTATTAAATCCCAAATTGAAATTTCCGTTATTATTTCCATTGTATGAACCGTAATTTAAATTACCATTTGCGTTGCCATTGCCAGATCCCCAATTCCAATTTCCGTTATTATTTCCATTAAATGAGCCGTCGTTTAAATTACCGTTCGCATTTCCATTATTAGATCCATAATTATCATTTCCGTTATTATTTCCATTGAATGAGCCGTAATTTAAATTGCCGTTCGCGTTGCCATTACCAGACCCATAATTATTATTTCCATTGTTATTACCATTGAACGATCCGACGTTTCCATTTCCATTACCATTGCCATTGTTGTCACCACGTTTTTCTAATACTGGAGCTGCAGTTGTCAAGGCGAGTGATAAAAGAGCAGCATAAATCAATGTTACAAGTTTTCTGGACATTATGGTTTTTTAATGGGTCAATAATTAAAAATTTGGACGAATATAATAAGTAAAATAACCTTGAGAAAAGAAGCAGCAGCGAACGAAGGCCTTTTATAATAGATACATGACTGGGCGTTATTTGTGAGATTTAACATGGTAATACGATGGCTAACGCGAAAACTACGTGTATATGCATATTAGTTTCGACTCCTGAATTTGTTTGCATTGTTCTAACTTAATTGAGAAATTATGATAGAATAAACGTTTGGTATGCTAAAATTAAACATTAACACAAAGAAATATTCATACTATATATTAATAGTGAAATTTAATATGCATTATAACGATAGGCAAGCTTAGAGTACATGTAAACTTGAGGCGTTTGAATAAGAATATTCAGTTATAGATAGCTATATTTGTTCGTTCCATGATCTTATAGATATACGTATAAAATGCATCATTGCCCATTTCAAGGTTTTTGTTCATTTATCTATAATGTACATGTAAAATGCATAATTTCGCATTCAATGAGCTCTGCCATTTTAAGATTATTGAAGCTCGATTTTGTGCATTAAAGTCGGTTGCTTAATTTATCATTTCTTTTTTTGCGTTTTGTGCATTATTACATGAATGAGGCGCTGCCATTTTTAATGAACATTACCCTTTTTTATTTAAAAAATTAAGTACGTTTGGAGATATTTTATCTAATCTAAATCGTGCATTATGCATTTGTTTACCCATTTACCGACTATAAATGCATTTTGTGTTGCCTGACTACATGTGTATGTATGAATAATATTTTTATCGCATAAATAAATGCTTATGGTAAAATCTTCATTTCTATAGAACATGTATATGTTAAATTAGGACATGTGTTTGAGCGGTTTAATGTGATATCTTCTTAATATTTTGAATTTTCGGTTTACGGGGATGCATGTATGTACGTAGAGTACTATAAGGAATCTAAAACGCGCCTGACAATTTCCATGCAGGCTATAAGTCTCATAGGAGGATGAGTCAAAATGTGTTGTGATATCATACAATTGACAAAGTGAAAGGTTCACCGATTGTCATCATTAATTTGGCATGTGCTCGTTTCATAACCTTTGTAATTCGATAAGGTTTGAGTTTAAATGATAATGTGTTACCTCTGCTCTGTTTCCAATCCAATCAAAAATGCATCCTTCATAGTCTTGTTTCATCGTGACTTTTAGCACAGCCTGGTACAAATTTATGAATTGTTCGCTAAAATCCCAACTTCCGCAAATACAAGTAATTCGATCTAATTATAATGTAATTAACGCTTGATAAACAATTGACTTTCCAAATGTAAAGAATTAAACGTATAAGATAATTTGTCACCTTTCTCGTCCGTTGATTAGCTTGGGTCAGTTTGCATGGATTCAAACTTGTAAATTTCACAAAGACATAAACAAAGTATCTTTTGAGAAATCTTTCACATAATTCAAAATTATAATAGAACACATTAAAGATACTAAAAAATGCTTGATTTATTTTTACATTGTTACGAGCCTCTTGACTATACTTCGCGACAATTGGATACCTTCCATAAACTCACTTGTTAGAACTATAACAATCTTTCAACAAAATTGGCACGCTGAAATCCTTATCTTCCTTTAGTATGAAAATTATCTGTCTCCCAGGCTAATTCACATCTTGCGACTTTTATCATATTCTCGAGATAAAATTCTTTTTGGTAATAAATTGCTAAAAGTCATCAATTTTCTAAGATTATCAAGAACGGAATATCATTTAATTATGAGAAATTCTGACGTTAATCTGAACCGAGTTCATTCATTATTTAAATATATCGATATAAAATTAGCTTAAATTTTGGGATGGGTTTGAATAAATTTTTAGTTCGAAGCCTGTCTCTAGCTGCCATTTAGGCATACAGTCTCACTATTTTGAGCTCTCAACAGTAATTTTCTAACAGCTCTGGTAACATTTGCATATATTAAAAAATATATAAACTTAAATATTCAATACAATATATAAAATATAAAAGTTCAAACTAAGTAAAAAATATTAATTATGCTAATCATTGGCCCATTTTCAAAGCTGCACCATGCATTTGCGACAGCTTTCTCGCCAAATGATCAATGCTTATCAAAAGAGAGAGCTTCCGTCTTTTTTATTAATCAACACAATTTCATTATGTTGATTAATACACTTAGCAGTTTAGCATTGAATATTGATCAATTGAAATTTCGATAAACTTACTCTAAGATTACTTCACGATGAGCTGCTCCTA